GTTTCCTATTGTTACAAACTAGTATTAGAACATTTGATTCTGCCAGGAGCAATAAATAGATTTTTCTTTCTTTATGGTTAGTTCCCAGAAATGAATGCTTTGATAATGAGACGGTTCAGTTTGCCAGGAGATGTGGACAGAGCTCGACAATATGTACTACAGGTAAGATTATTCTAAAAAAAAAAAAAAAAAAAGGTATCAACAGATACAATGTGGGAAAGTTCTTTTAACCAAACAAATAACAATAACATTACATTTTAGAAACAGGACCAAGTTTAGTCCATTCTTGATTTGACAAAAACTCTTCAGAAGGAAAAACTTGTATAGTTCATTTTTCTTCCAGAATTCTTTCCAGTGATGCTAATTTAATTGGCCTTGGGAAGGGATTGGACGTTAACAGTTTTTGAAAGCTACCCAAGTGTTTCTAATGTGTTGAGATCCATTGGTTTGGAACCAGTCTCCCCACATCCATCAGCAGCACGAAGATACTCCCAGTCACCAGACTTGCCTCCAACCTAGTCCAGGCACTCACATGGCTAGAATATTATAGCAATCTACTCAAAATTGGCTTTTTCCTACTCTATCCTATATAACTGCCATAAATGTGTGGTTTAAGATATGTTAACTTAAAAAATTAAACCAACATAGGCAAACTGAACTATTTAACCTTCGGAGCTATAAGTTTATTTCAAATATATTGCCACATATCCTCAGTGCTTTTCTGTTTAAGCTAGATCTTTCTGTATATTTTAAGTTTTGATGACTATATTTTAAGAATGAGCTCTTTCTAATATCTAAATCTAACGTCACTTGGAACCAATAGATCTAGTTAATGAGATAAGAGAGCAAACAGTTTTTAGTAAGCAAATAGGGTCTGAGAGCTATGATTAGTACAATACTTGGAAGAATTCCAAATAATTACCTTTTAGATTTTTTTTAATTTCCAAAAAGCAAAACTCCTCCAAAGGATATGTTTCTCTTTTAACTCTCCATACTGTTAAGCATCATAATTTGCTATGGGTTACCACCCTTTTGGAGGGTAGTTTGTCAGTAGTAGTAAAAATTCAATATGAGAGGGGGCTGTAGCTGACAAAAAAGTTGCTGTGCCAGGAAAGGTTCTGGCTTCAGAAATAACGGTATTACTGAAGGCTCAGGAGAAGTGGGACTGACGACAAATTAATTGTAGTTCTTATTGTAAAACACTGTACAGCAAGCCTATGCATCAAAGCACCTAAAAAAAAAAAAATCCACAGAACAAATTCTCCAATTATAGCTCCCTTTCCACCCAGAGCTCCTAATCACTATTCCCTCATTAAATATGAATGGACAACTAGTATTTAGTAGGATTACTAAATAACTTATTAAAGTTTGCTGAATGAAACAGACTAAGATAAACAAAGAAAAATATAATTAAGGGGATTCAAAAAATAACTGCACTCATAAAACAAGAACAGAATATTGTCTTTAAACAATGAAAGAGAATGAGCTCTGAGAAATTTTAAATGACTGGAAACTAACTCCTAAGAAAAGTAGGAACATGGAATTGAGAAAATCTTCCAAGATGTAAAACAGCAAGGGAAGAAAATGAGAAAAGCTCCTAAAAGCATCAGCAAAATCCTCTAATAAATACTAGCAGGCAGTGAACACGGCCTTCCAAATGGTGATGAAACATTTTAAACCTACAATTCTGTATCTAGTCCAGTAATTCTGAATGCAAGTCATTATCACACTTAAGGACTAAACAGCCGGCTTCCAATACCCATTTTCTGGGTAAGTTATTTGTGGGTGTATTTTAGCAAAAGTGTGAAAACCCCAAGAGGAAGACATGAATACTAAAACCAGTGGAATGAACCCAAGAGTTCAATAAAAAGTCATCCTGCAATGGTAATTGTACAAGAGCTAATAAATATATACTAGTATATATGTAACAAATAGAATGATTAAGGAATTAGAAATATTAGGAATTTGAGCTCCTTTCCCAAAAAGGAAGAAAAGGAGGCAATTACATGTAAAAGTGTGTTCTGTAGTACAGTAAGGCATAGCCAACTAAAATGTGTCAGTTTGTGTCAGTTGGTAGAGTATAGAAAATCAAGAGGCCTTTTAACATGTGAGGAATATTCTACTCAATGATAGAGGCATCATGAACTTGGAACCATGGAGAAGGAAATAAAATTGCTGACTTGATCATACAGTACCCATTTTTATATTACAGAAATGTAAGCTTTCGATAATGTAAATGTTCAGCTTTTAGAAAAAAACAAACATACATAGTTACAAAATAGAATGCAAACCTGTATGTAGTGTTAAGGTACAGTTAAAAGTGGAAAGAATGGGCCTGGCCAGTGTGGTTCACTGATTGAGCGTTGACCTATGAACCAGGTCATGGTTTGATTCCTGGTCAGAGCACATGCCTGAGTTGTGGGCTCCATCCCCAATGGGGGGTGTGCAGGAGGCAGCTGATCAGTGATTCTTTCTCATCACTGATGTTTCTACTCCCACTCTCCCTTCATCTCTGAAAGAATGGAAAGAATGGGAGCACTGGTTTCCTCATCTACACAAGATCAAGTCACACATGATAAAGATGGCAAAAGTAATCGCCCTAACCGGTTTGGCTCAATGGATAGAGCATCAGCCTGCTGACTCAAAGGTCCCAGATTCGATTCCGGTCAAGGGCATGTACCTTGGTTGCGGGCACATCCCCAGTAGGGAGTGTGCAGGAGGCAATCAATAAAATATATTTTTAAAAATAAAAAAATAAATTTAAAAAAAAGATGGCAAAAGTAACAACAGAACTAAAGGCAGCAATACAAGGTGGAGGCAAATGTAGTTTTATAGTTGCTTTTATGAAAAATAATACAATAATTAATAAATAAAACAAACTTTCATGTACTCACTACTGAAAAACTACTTTTGCCCCACCGTGTTTAATCCAATTTGGGTCATAGGATGTGTAGGTTAAATCCTCATCTTTCTTAGCAGACAGGCAATAGATAATAACTAATGCTGATAATTAAATTTAAAAAACCAATGGATAAAAAAGCTGGTGCCTTTAGAAGAAGAGAACTCAGCTCTTGTGTACATTTTCATCATTGGCTCTTATGTATTTTTATTATGTACATGTTTTTTAAACTTCCACTTAAGATTTTTTCATTTAAAAATTTATTGTATAGATATTTTATAACAACTTTTTAAAAAGTTCTAGTACTTAAAAATAGATGGCTAAGAGGCTGGTAGGAAGAGGGTGGGAATGGGAGATAATCTGTAGTACTATCAACAATAAAAATATATTTAAAAATGAAAAAAAATAGATGGCTACTTGATATTAATGAGTTAGTTACTTTGTACGCTAATAGAGTAAAAATTTGCTTTAATCAGAGAAAAGGGCCTAAAAGAACTAGGCAGGGGAAGCTGGAACTGTAAGTTCAAGAAAGAATGTTAGAAACATAGTTTGGCTATTAACTAATCTAATCTCAAAATAGTTTTTAATTCATTATAATGAACTTAAGAGCCAATCCAATAGGTAACACACATCTGTTCTGTTTCTTTCTGTATTTCATAGAGTGATGGTGTGCAGCAAACAACCTACCTCGCCCAGCGGTACTGCCATGAAGCAGTAAGAGAGATCAGTAAACTTCGACCATCCCCAGAAAGAGATGCCCTCATACAACTCTCGGAAACTGTACTCACAAGAGATAAATGACAAAGTCTTTCTGTTATTCCTGGCAGCTATTTTACCAGACTGTGCCTAAAGAATTTTGTGGAATATACTTTGCTTCATGTGCACATAACCAAAAATCATTTTAAAAAATCATTTCCACCTTAATGATGGGCAATTATTTTATTAGCAAAGTTTTTCAGAAAAGTTTTAAAATAATTAAATCATCTGAAACTGTTATTTTAGCCCTGTAAATTCTAATCGAGGCATCTTGATGGTTATATATATGTGGTATTGTTTACACTGTTAATAGTCACATGTAAAGCCATTAAACAAATAAATAATCAATGTTAAAATTAAAATGGTTTATCTTGTTTCACCATAGGAGTAAATGTCAGAGAACTGTGAGGTCTACATTTCAATCAGCATTAGATTTTAACAGCATCCAAAATTTCATATAAGAGAATGGTTTATTATAAAAGACTGCACATAAAATTTAGATGAGTTATATACAAAATTAAGACAACATTCCACTTGGAAAAAATGAAATGTAAAATGTAGTAGCTTATCACTAGTGATACTGAAATCATGTTTAAAATTATCAAGGCAAAATGCATATTCAACAGTCACATTGATTTGGTAGCAATGGTCTTTAACTCTCAGAAATAAATGTTTTGCACTAGTCTTACCATTTACTATGCTATTATAGTCTGTAACGCCCAGTACATAAACTGCAATTTGAAATCCAGACAATTCCTCAATACACAGAAACCCACATTTGAGCGCTCTATTTTAATATCCTCGGCAATACAGAATTGTACACAAGATAAAACATCCTTCTAAACCTCCCTTAAATTAAGAGGAGACACACAAAGTGCATGTGTTGCATTTCAATTATGTCAAAAAGACAAAACAAATCTATTGGTCAGGTATGTCCCTGTTCACTGATTGATATATGACCCAGTTTTTCCCTAATTACTTTAAAAATCTTTTTATGTTGCTAGTACCAGTTAATGAATTAAATAGTGCCTATTCAAAAATCAATTGCATCCACTTCTACAAAACAGTATGTAAAAGATACTTATAATTTCCTTTCATTGAACAACAGTCCACTGGAAAACTGGAGCACTAATAACAGCAATCCTTAAGAATTTTACCCACAGAAGTGAATAATTTTACACATTTTCTTAGCTCTGAAAAAAAAATTACTTTAGAAAAGCAACTAAATAGATTGACTTGTAAATAACTTTCAGATTTTAAATCTTCAAAAATCAGTCACATTTGATTTTGGGACAGGTTGAGATAAGGCTGAAGTTCATATGCTGAGAAAATAGAACAATAATTCTGCAATAAATCAGTATCTTTTATTTATTTTTTTAAAAACAAATCAGTGAAGGAAAGGACAAAAACCTTTGGTTCACTTAAGTATTTGTGAGTGGAAAAAATTTATAATGCAAATTCACTCATTAAAAAACTTAGTTACAAATTACAACATTATAGATAACCCTTTTTTGTTTTTTTTTATTTCACATGGAAACCTTAGAGACTCGATTCATTTCAAGAGACCTAAGTACGAGTACTCCAAGAAAATATCACACAAATTGGAAGCATCCTGGATTTTTAAGAAGTATATTTCAATAATTAATTTGTATGCATGCTTTAAACAAATAGTTATAGTTCAAGAATGAGAGAGTCTAAACAAAAGGTATGACCAGCACCAGCATTTAAGTTTCTGATTTTAATATTAGTCTGACATAGCATTAGTAACCATGCTGCACTGAAACATTAATGGTACAATCTGAATCATGATTTGTTAAATATTATACCCCAGATCCCCAGAATATTTAAGCTGGTCATAAAGTTAACATTGTGTAAGTAAGTATATAAGCATAATCAGTTATAGACAGCCTCTTGTATAAACTGCTGTTGAGCAATACACAAACTGCCTCAAAGATTTATGCTTACAAGGTAGACGTTCAATTATATCAATAAAACAGCATGTCCTGAAAATATGGGCACATTTTAAGACAATTTTGTTAACCATTAATAGTCCCACAGTATGACTGAGTAATGGTAAGAACCTACTTTAAAAGCAAAGAAAAAAACTTAATCAGTATAGTGCATGATTGATTCAACATAGTTCCCAGGGAACAAACCAGTCACTCGATTGCAGACTCCTTCATACCAGCCATCATCATTCTTCTTTATTACATAAATGATTGCACCCTCCATAAATGACAGCTCATCATCCTTGTCTTTTGTATAATCATATATTGCCACAACTATGGAAAAAAAGAGTTGAAATAACAAGTGAGTGCACTATATCCAACATAATGTGAATTTTAAAATGTAATGCCAATTAAATCTATAGTATGGCAAAACCAACTATTTTATGAATATTCGTAACTCTTACATCTATAAATATAGGTAGACCAGTGGCTAACCATGTACCTAAATTAATAACTTGATCTTGGGGCCAAACTGACTAATTGATTAGACTAGAGAAAACAATAGTTTCTACCAATCTATTTAGGGAAGATCTCTGAATTTTAAGGGCTGATTAGCCATTTCAATTCATTTGTTCAAATATCTACTAAGTGCCAACAGTATGCAAAACAATTTTTCAAAATAACTGGGCAGCAAAGCTGCATAACCAATCAGTAAACCAGCTATCTAATTTGAAAATATACATACCTGGAGATAAATCTCATCCAAGGAAAATATTCATGTAACTTATGGGGCTATATTTAGAATATTTTTACAGAGCACTTTAATGATCAACAGGATTTTTTAAGGGGAAATAACTGAGTAAAGATGCATTAATTAAGACTGAGAGAACTATTTGCAATTCTGTAGTATCAGTGATTATTTTGAGTTCAAAATATTCACTTTGTTTGCACAGTGTCATAGAAAAAAAGGCATAAAAATTATTCTAGTTTTCTAAACTACTGGTTGATAAGTTTAATTATTCCTTCATTCTGCCTTCATAGCATAATGATGCTCAAATTATATGTACTTTTCTAGTAAATGTGAAATGGTATGCGATATGGATTTTTTTCATTGATTTGCCTCGTGTAGTTTTTCTTAAAATACAGAGTTCTTAAGACGTTTAAGATGTTCTGGAACTTACTTTTCCACCAAAAAAGATGGTTAGTCCCCACAATTATTCTGAATTAGGGAATTATAAGAGGCTTGAAGTACTAATCGATATTATTTGCTAAATTAAAACAGGCAATCTTCTCTCCCCTTTCCGAAACACTGTATTAAGTAAACTCAACAAGTCCATTTTAATCCTGCAGCAGAATCATAGTATTGTGATTACAAGCTCACTGACATATAAAGTTGTCTTTAAAAACCCCCAAACATAAAGAATAAATAATATTAAATTATTATCCTGGTATTATTTTTATCTAAGAAGCCACCCAAAAGAATTGAGTGACTGTTAGATACAGTAAAGAAAATAATGTAATAATTTAAAAGTAAACTATTAATTAGTCAAGTAATATTTATTATTTATGGTTTACCTTTGATAACATTAATTTCTTTGTATTCAGATTGATAATGAATTAAATTTTGAATGCTATAGACTTTTAAGCTAATCATGACAAAGGCCCGACATTCTCAAAGTCATTTGGCAGAATAAAAATGTTTCCTCTCACCCAGCCTTAGTGGTTGAGCATCAACCCATGAACCTGGAGATCACAGTTCGATTTCTGGTCTGGACACATGGCCAGGTTGGGGCTTGATGCCCAGTGTGGGGCATAGAGGAAGCAGCTGATCAATGATTCTCTCTCATCACTGAAGTTTTTTTTTTCTCTCTCTCTCTCCCTCTCTCTCTCTTCCTCTTTGAAATCAATAAAAATATATTTTTTTTTAAAAATTGCAATGTCTATGGCTGTTTTGTGCTATAACAGTGGCTAACAGAGATTTAAATATTTCATTTTGCAATATATACAAATAATGAATCACTACACTGTATACCTGAAACTAATATAATGTTATGTCAATTTAACCTCAATTTTTTAAAAAAGTTAAAAATATTGCCCTAGATAAGTAAAGACCTATACTTGCTACCTCTCACAACCACATCCAAATTATAAAGACAGAACTATCATCCAGAACCGCGGGAAAGCTGGCTGAGTGGAAGTTCTACAACTAGAGAGGTAAGAAGAAAGTGCATTGAGACTGGTAGGCTGTGCGTAGGTGCAGAACGGGCTGGCATCCATGTGTGCTGCTTTTTTAATTGGAAGGGAGATACAAGCTCCCGCTTGTTCTGAACTCCAGTTCCAGGCAAGACTCTGGGAGACCCAGACACATATGGGGAGAAACTGGACTATCTGGAATCAGGACAGGAACACGAGGGCGGCTTTCTTTCAAATGGAGATGCTCGCAGCAGCCAATGTTCCTACCCTGGGACCTCTCTGGTGCAGGGCTGACTGGCAGCCATTGCTGTTTGCTCTGCCATGGTGATTCCCTGAGAACCCGCCCCACCCAATTTACAACCCCAACAAAGCTGTGCCCAGCGGCTTTTGCATATGAATGGCCTGTCCTTTCTCAGCCTAAAACCTGTCAAACAGGCAGCAGCTGGGTCAGGTAGCCCCAAAGCAATCAATCCAGCAGCAGCAGCCTGCCTTGCTACACAGCTGGGCCTTGTCTGGGCACTTCCAAACCCCATACAAAGAGGAGGAATCTGCAGATCTCTCTGTAGCTCCTGCTGGGCGGTCCCAGGCAATGGCTGACTTTGCACCTCCTTGGAGATCCAAGAGCCAGTGTACCCAGTGGTCAGTGTGAGACCATACCAGATGACAACTCTTCACATCCATAAGCGACACACTCAAGAGGCAGACTCAGTGAGCACCAAAGCCCCACTGAAGCAAGCCCTGCCCCACAAGGGTGTCTCCTGAACAGCAGCTCTTCCATTGTAGACACAGCTGGTCCTCACAGCCAATTGGCCTGGAGATCAATTCCTCCCAGTGATACCAACAGCAATCAGACTTAACTATAACAAGACTGTGCAAACAGCCCACAAAGGGGTGCACCACAAGTGTCCACCTAAGGTGACAGGGGAGACTGAGCCACTGGGCCCTAGAGGACACCTACCACACAAGGCCACTCTATCAACTCAAGGAGACTCAGCAGCTACCCAATACATAGAAACAAACACAGGGAAGCAGCCAAAATGCGGAAACAAAGAAACATGTCACAAATGAAAGAAATGAATGAAAGCAAAATACTGGATATATAGTTCAAAACCACGGTTATAAGGTTACTCAAGAATCTTCTAGAAACCTCCGAGAAATTTAGTGAGACCCTCAAGGATATGAAAAAGGACCAATCAGAAATTAAGCATACACTGACTGAAATAAAGAATGACATACAGCATTCAAGAGTAGACTAGAGGATCCCAAGAATCAAGTCAAAGATTTGAAATACAAGGAAGCAAAATACACCCAACTGGAAGAGCAAAAAGAAAAAAGAATCCAAAAATACGAAGATAGTGTAAGGAGCCTCGGGGACAACTTCAAGCGTATCAACATCCGAATTATGGGGATGACAGAAGAAGAGAGAGAGCAAGATATTGAAAACCTATTTGAAGAAATGATGACAGAAAACTTCCCCTACCTGGTGAAAGAAATACACTTACAAGTCCAGGAAGCGCAGAGAACCCCAAACAAGAGGAATCCAAAGAGGACCACACCAAGACACATCATAATTAAAATGCCAAGGGCAAAAGACAAAAGAGAGAATCTTAAAAGCAGCAAGAGAAAAACAATTAGTTACCTACAAGGGAGTACCCATACGACTGTCAGCTGATTTCTCAACAGAAACTATGCAGGCCAGAAGGGCGTGGCAAGAAATACACAAAGTGATGAATAGCAAGAACCTACAACCAAGATTACTCTACCCAGCAAAGCTATCATTTAGAATTGAAGGTCAGATAAAGAGCTTCACAGACAAGAAAAAGCTAAAGGAGTTCATCACCACCAAACCAGTATTATATGAAATGCTGAAAGGTATTTAAGAAGACGAAGAAGAAGAAAAAGGTAAAGATAAAAAATTATGAACAACAAAGTGACAACAAATACCTATCTATCAACAAGTGAATCTAAAAATCAAATGAATAAAAAAAATCTGATGAACAGAACAAACTGGTAAATGTAATAGAATCAGGGGCATAGAAAGGGAGCGGGCTGACAAGTCTCGATGGGATGAGGGTGTGGGGGGTGTGGGAAGAAATTGGACAATGAGCTTACACCTATAAACAAGGATAGTGGGGAGGGGCAAGAACCTGGGAGGGGGGGGGTTGAGAACTAGGTGGATGGGAACTATGGAGGGAAAAAAGAGGAACATCTGTAATAATCTGAACAATAAAGATTTAACCCTTTTCAGTCCAACGTCCAGGCTGACTCAACAGACCAGGCGCTAGGAGCAGGTCCAACATGGAGCTGAGGTCGACACCGCAAACCGCTGCGATTATATGCATTGTCAGTAAGTTCAACAGTCAATCCCATCAATTAATTTGGACCAGACTGTTTGAATTCCAAAAATAAAATTAGACCACAAAGGGTTAAAAAAACAAAATTATTGCCCTAGCTGCTTTTGCTCAGTGGATAGTGCGTCAGCCTGCGAACTGAAGGGTCCCAGGTTCAATTCCGGTCAAGGGCACATGCCCGGAGTTGCGGGCTCGATCCCCAGTAGGAGGCATGAAGAAGGCAGCCAATCAATGATTCTCTCTCACCGTTGATGTTTCTATCTCTCTCTCCCTCTCCTCTCTGAAATCAATCCTATATAATAAAAGGGTAATATGCAAATTAACTGTCACTCCACCACAAAGATGGCGGCACCCATAGCCCAGTCCTCTCAGCCCAGCCGGAGATCCCCAGTCCTGGCGAGGCGGCTGGTGAGAGCAGGCAGCGTGAGTGACCCGGCGGAATGCTTGCTTCGTCGCCACCACAACGAGACAAGCGTTCCGCACCCGGCTGCAGACGGGCCTCTGGCCAGGCCAGGGCACAAAACGCTTACATAAGAAGAGAAGGAACCGGTGAGCTGAGCAGAGTTGAGTGGCCCCTGACTCCCGGGCAAGGTCAAGTCCGGGCAGCCAGGGGGTGGAGGGGATGAAGGATAGTGTGACAGGAGGGGCTGGTGGCAGAGGCACAGGGGTGAAAGCCGGCCAAGAAAGAAGAAGGAAGCCCTTTATTGGGGTTCCAGAGAAAAGGGAGGAAAGTCGTTTGCATTTCCCAGCCGCAGATGGGCCTCTGGCCAGGCCAGGGCGCGGAACACTTGATCGTCACCCTGGGCAGCATGCACGGAGCGGTGAGGCCCCACAGAGAGCTACTGGCGCACGAATTCATGCGCAGGGCTACTAGTAAAAATATATTTAAAAATTTAATAAATAAAATAAGTTAAAAATGTTTATTTGGTCTTTTACAAAAAAATATGTAATAACCTTGATTTAAGACTCATCATTTCAACTTGTGAAGATATTTTTTAATTGTGCTAGGTTATTCATTGTTCTATCATTCCCAATTTTTCAACTTCTTCAAATATAATAGTTCCAATTTCATAAATACTTAAAGTTAAATTTGCTTTCTAAGCCAGAAATATGAGTAAAAACACAATTCAAGACTATTCAAGTTTATCACCCTCATAATAACCACAGCTTATTTCTACTTGAAGGTACATAAAAATCTTAACAGAAAGTAGAATATTCAAGACTTCCTGAACTATATGCAGAATATTTACTCTTAAAAAATATAAAAAAGGAAAATAGGAAATTTACTTTTAGCTATCTATTTAAAACTTGGGCAGGGGAGAATGGAACAGGTCTCAAGAGCTACAGCTACTTACTTAAGATCAGTTAATCCAATACAGGGAATGGAAGGGAATACATTTCAAATGTAATCAAATGTGATCAACTAAATTACAAGTATTTTTCAGAACACTATACAAATACAGATTTTTAAATAGCACATAATTGGATTTAAAAAAAGCAAACTCTCTAAAAACAGGACTTTTTCTTTCCTACATACTGTTTCTGAAAAGATAATTAAGGTGACTGTCAGGTAAAATAGGTAAATTTGGACGTTGGAGTTACACATTATTTCATGATATAAAATTCTAGTGATTATCTTCTCTTTTGTAAGATCAACTAATGAAAACCTTAATTGAAAGCTTGTTCTCATAATAATCCCAATAGATTTTAAAGTATTTAGAGATAAAAGATTTCTATTTTTATGAGAAGTGCTTAGAAATTTGGTTTTAAATATTACTAATTATATGACTAGTACTAGTAAATCATTTCACTCCTTTTTTGTGTGTGTCTTAGTTGCTTCATCTATAAAATGCAGACAGACAAGTTAATCTCCAGCTAGAAGCACTATGTCATTTGAAAATGTACAGCTAACATTATAACATATTTTTAATTTAAAATATAAAGAATCCTCTCTTCAAATTTGAAATGTATAGGAAATAAGGTTTAACTATATCATCTTGACTGGTAAAGTTATTCAAAAGATTGTGAAACACTGGATTAAATGTTCTTCATAGCTCTAAATTCTATAATTACATTATTTTCCTTTACTCTAATAGATGATTGTACCTCACCTTTCTCAATATAATTCTTAGGGGCCCATGCAGGATCCCCATCTGCATATGGGTCATTATACTGAACTACTGCAGCCTCCTCATCTTCATAATCCACTGGAGGTGGTGGCGGCGGAGGTGGAGAGTCATCAAACATGGGAATGTCATCTGGTGGAGGTGGTGGTGGAGGAGTTGGACTATCAGCAACTAGAAAAAATTCAGATAATTAATTTGAATAAAAAAACGAGACTAAATGGAAATTCATAAATTAAAAGAATTTAAGAAAGCTCTAATTCATATAAAGCATGCACTATAATAAAACATGCAAGATTAGAAATAAAAGCTTGGTGTGTTAAAGCTTCCACTATTCAAGAATAATTTTGCTATAATAAAATGAGCTAAAAATAAAGGTATTAGGAAGTACTACAAATTAATGGATGCAGGTTAGGAGACTATCTCTTTATATAAAGATTATAGGAGTAAAGAAATTTTCTTAATTCCAAGGCTCAGGTCTAAACAACTGTCACTCTTTAATTAATTTAAGTCCTTAAATAAGCCTTATGTCACCTTTATCATTTGGACTACAGTAAACATTATGAATAATATTACATTAATGGTTTGATAGCTATTCATTGTGAATATTCATGTCTCTGATTTTAGATTAAATATCTTTAGTTGCCCAGAAATAAGTTTCCAGTGGATAGATATTTATTTTGTTTGTTTTAAGGGAGAAAGAAAAGTCGGTGGTATTAGGTATGCTTCTATGTATAGGTTTTCTATTCTTTCATGTAAATTTTAACAAGAAAAAATTAAATTAAAAAATCCCCAACTAGTAGAAAATGTCTTAGAGTATTTTTTTAACATGTTTGTACTCATAATCAACTTTTTAAATGTAGAAAGCAAGCTAAGATTTTTGCCTTATTGCTAGTAAAACATAACATAGATGAGGGGAGGACAAGATCCTAAAGATCTATTCTAAGAATACATCCAAACAAAGATTTTAAAAGTAAAGTTTTGTGGTAATAATTAAAAAAAAAATACACAGAAAGTAACTTATATCATGCAAAACAATAAAACCAACTCACACCTCCAATTCTAGATGGTTGTAGTATGTGCATGTAATTTAAATAATCAAAAGTATAAATGGTAAAATGTAGAGGCTAGAACTGTGTTCACTGAACTACTATGACACCAGGTAACAAATGCTCCCAACATTAAGGAATTCAAAACTGGAACACAACTAATTCTTAATTTAAATTTCTTATGCACACATTTCTTTAAAAGTTAAAGACAAATGAAAATGTTTTGATACAAATTAACACAGGAATTATATAATAGCTACAGGGAAGAAATTCAGAATACCAATATACTAACTTAAATGCCAATTTCTAAGGCTATTTTTATATGATCAAAAAAGTCATAATCTATCTTAATACAGGTTTTAAAGTTTACTCCACCCTATTTGGAATAAAGTGCTGAGAATATAACAAGGGCTCAAGATTTAAAACATTTGCAGATTTAATAGCCCTATTTCCACTTCAATGCTGTGAATTTCTATTTTAGCCTGTTGAGGAATGAAAAAGGCTACTAGAAAATAAGCCTTGTGCGATAACGCTCATTCTGTTATGTTTATAACTTATTTTTCCACTGAATGCTTGGATCTATTTTACTTTTGCCCACAAATAACCCTTAAATCTTTCTATTACTATTGTGGGAGGCAACCAATCAATGTGTCTCTCTTACATAGATGTTTCCTTTCTCTCTCTCCCCTTCTCCTCCCCCTTCCATTCCACTCTCTCTCTAACGATCAATGGAAAAAATATCCTCAGGTGAGGACTGAATTTAAATAAACAAACAAATAAATAAATTTAAGATACTGATGATACAGTTTCTCACCAATCTTCCTAGCATGCTTTCAAAGAAAACAGATGGCAAATAAAGTTGGGCATTCTGCAGCACAAGGACAATGACTGACTCAAGTTCATCTGTTTGGTGGAAGAACTACACTAGTACCATGGGCCTCTTTAGCAAAGGCCAGGCATACCTAGAATAATGCACATTAATTCTGAATTTCTATTTAAAGTTACCAAAGAGCTTCGGTCACACTAAATGGAAGTTCATTATGGTTATTTTTAAATAGTTTCTAAAAATTCTTGGCTGTAAGGCAGTTCAAAAAGTTTAACTGGCTTCATTTTTAAACTCTTACAGCATTAAAGACCAGCAATTTACTCTTATTCACTTATTATTAAAAATAAGATTCACTTATTTATATATATTTAAACACAGATTTCAAAGTTGATTTGCACTCAGAAATTTCAATATTTTGAAACTACAATGTTTTGTAAAATATCCATTAAATCATACATTTCTTACAGGTAAGGACTCTGTCTTAAACTATTTGTATTCTTCCCAAAGACTAACACATGACACTAAATCCACAAATATTTGACTGGAGGAATGGAGGAAATAGGTAGAATAACACAAAAGGGTCAGCACAAGCTGAACAATGAAATTTGCCACAATGTATTATCTTAGAAGACTGGTTGATCAAATGGGTTACACATTTGTTCACAACATTCTGAGATTTATTTGGATGGTGATGGTCCCAAATAAAGTAAATTACTACTTGACCACCTTACCATCTTAATCTCAATAGCTATTTTGGCCTAATAAAATTTGTGATAGTGGTATTCTTCATTTTGTCAAGTAACATTCACTATGATCATGTGACTATGATTACACATCTTCCAAAACCTTAAAATAATCAGACAGCAATATAAACTATCTACCCTAATTAAATCCATATATTTAAAAGATTTTTCAAAACTCCCTGACCTTCCTTCAAAGAAGCCCTAAAAAAAAAGATGACAGATTTGTATATTCATAAATAATCCTCATGGGCCTGCATGTAGCTAGCCAAAACATGAAGAGGGCTCTATAATGACAATCACTCAGATGAATACATATCGTGAATGTAATTTACTTATTCTTGCATATTCATTCTTATTCTAACAATGAATCTTTATATAGATTAAAAATTACTCATGTATCAAAATCTAAGGAAAGCTACAAGTATTCTCCAAAATATTTTTTGTAATTAAAGAAAAAAACAACAGATCTGTCCCAATTATGTAATAAACAAAATCTCACAAAACAATCTATAGCCCTAACCGGTTTGGCTCAGTGGGATAGAGCGTCGGCCTGCGGACTGAAAGGTCCCAGGTTCAATTCCGGTCAAGGGCATGTACCTTGGTTGCGGGCACATCCCCAGTAGGAGGTGTGCAGGAGGCAGCTCATCGATGTTTCTCTCTCATTGATGTTTATAACTCTATCCCTCTCCCTTCCTCTCTGTACAAAATCAATAAAATATGTTTTTTAAAAAAAAAACAATCTATAGATGAATTTGAATACCAAATGTTTTCTAACTAATTCTTCTAATAATTATTGGAAGCTAGTAGTTTCCTTTGTGTTTGATTATACTTTCCTTAAGAATCTGCAAAGATCAGATTTCATGTTTTAGATAATATGAATACATAAGAAAGTTGCAATTTTGAAATTTATATAGGTCAGTAATCATGCACACAAGAGAAAAAACTAAAGATCGTGCTCTTCAGTTTCAATAACATAGCTGCACCTATTTTCAGATAAGATTAGCTTCTCAGTAAAAGTAAGGAAAATGATGACTCATCAGCCATGCATGCTATAAGGAGACAGCCTCTACCCTTTGACAGCTCAGTTTTTCCAAACTTACTGTTTTCCTGCACCCTGGCCACGAAGCCTGTGAGAGGTATCTGTGGAGTCAACTGAGGCATAGGGGGAGGGGGTGGAGCAATAGAAACTGATAGCAACAACACAGTATGGGGGAAGTAAAACAGGTAAAGGAAAGAAAAGGAAACAAAAAGCAGAAGTCAGTTACAAGGACCACAAACATAAGTATGCAAAGAACAGTTTGCAAATGAAACAAAACAAAACAAAAACAAAACAAAAACCTGCAGAACCTTCAAGTTGATTACACACTAGAAAATCTAAAGCTGAGTTGTGTTTAGCCAATTGGTTAATTTTATTGAAAAAAAATACTTCTAACTTAATCCTAATTATATTGTTTGGGAGAGATTTACATTTACCCTCACATTCACTTTCATGCAATGAAAACCTCAAATTCTAAGAAAAGACTTTAGCCCTAGCCGGTTTTGCTCAGTGGATAGAGCATCGGCCTGCGGACTGAAGGGTCCCGGTTCGATTCCAGTTGAGGGCACATGCCCGGGTTGCCCGCTCGATCCCCAGTAGGGGGCGTGCAGGAGGCAGCCAATCAATGATTCTCATCATTGTTTCTCTCTCTCCCTCTCCCTTCCTATCACAAGTCTTCTCCAAAATATTTTTTGTAATTAAAGAAAAAAACAACAGATCTGTCCCAATTATGTAATAAACAAAATCTCACAAAACAATCTATAGCCCTAACCGGTTTGGCTCAGTGGGATAGAGCGTCGGCCTGCGGACTGAAAGGTCCCAGGTTCAATTCCGGTCAAGGGCATGTACCTTGGTTGCGGGCACATCCCCAGTAGGAGGTGTGCAGGAGGCAGCTCATCGATGTTTCTCTCTCATTGATGTTTATAACTCTATCCCTCTCCCTTCCTCTCTGTACAAAATCAATAAAATATGTTTTTTAAAAAAAAAACAATCTATAGATGAATTTGAATACCAAATGTTTTCTAACTAATTCTTCTAATAATTATTGGAAGCTAGTAGTTTCCTTTGTGTTTGATTATACTTTCCTTAAGAATCTGCAAAGATCAGATTTCATGTTTTAGATAATATGAATACATAAGAAAGTTGCAATTTTGAAATTTATATAGGTCAGTAATCATGCACACAAGAGAAAAAACTAAAGATCGTGCTCTTCAGTTTCAATAACATAGCTGCACCTATTTTCAGATAAGATTAGCTTCTCAGTAAAAGTAAGGAAAATGATGACTCATCAGCCATGCATGCTATAAGGAGACAGCCTCTACCCTTTGACAGCTCAGTTTTTCCAAACTTACTGTTTTCCTGCACCCTGGCCACGAAGCCTGTGAGAGGTATCTGTGGAGTCAACTGAGGCATAGGGGGAGGGGGTGGAGCAATAGAAACTGATAGCAACAACACAGTATGGGGGAAGTAAAACAGGTAAAGGAAAGAAAAGGAAACAAAAAGCAGAAGTCAGTTACAAGGACCACAAACATAAGTATGCAAAGAACAGTTTGCAAATGAAACAAAACAAAACAAAAACAAAACAAAAACCTGCAGAACCTTCAAGTTGATTACACACTAGAAAATCTAAAGCTGAGTTGTGTTTAGCCAATTGGTTAATTTTATTGAAAAAAAATACTTCTAACTTAATCCTAATTATATTGTTTGGGAGAGATTTACATTTACCCTCACATTCACTTTCATGCAATGAAAACCTCAAATTCTAAGAAAAGACTTTAGCCCTAGCCGGTTTTGCTCAGTGGATAGAGCATCGGCCTGCGGACTGAAGGGTCCCGGTTCGATTCCAGTTGAGGGCACATGCCCGGGTTGCCCGCTCGATCCCCAGTAGGGGGCGTGCAGGAGGCAGCCAATCAATGATTCTCATCATTGTTTCTCTCTCTCCCTCTCCCTTCCTATCTGAAATCAATAAAAAAATATATTTTTTTAAAAAGACTAAAAAAACAGTTAACAGTGAAATACTGATAGCAGTTTCTAGGATATTGTATCTTTGCCATATTTCTATAACCTAACAGGCTGTTCTAGCTTTAGGGTAATGTTGTATATTAGAAACCAAATGTGCTATGAAACAGCTGTTTAGATCATATATAAGTAACTATATCAATCGCAGTTTTCCTTTAAAAAATTCTTATTTTATATATAAATTTACACATAGCTCTCCAGGAAAAACCCTTGTTTGTAAAATAAGGTTATATTACCCTTTAAGTTGACATTTTTAAAGACATTACTCCTAAATTTACTATATCCCATGCTAACTGTTTGCTGAGTTTCAAAGAATAAAATATCTCTCAAAAGTGACCTTCTTTCTTTTTATCACTGTTCTGACAAAGAAAACCTGGTCTAACAATACTTTAAAATAGGCAATTATTTGCATTTAGGTAATTTCTAACAAATCATTAGCAGCTGGAAAAATATTCCAACTTCTTTCTAGAGAGGACATAATTTACAAGAAATAAATACCAAATGTTCACGTGGGCAGCATATGTATTAAAAATTAGCAAACTAAAAGGAAATATACATACTTTTACCATTTTGTCTCATAACAAGACAGTAATTGCCAAAGATTGCTCAAAAAAGTCAATAGGAATGGATAACAAAACTCAGTTTACTGGTAGTCACAACAAGTGACACTAAATTGACAGAGAAAAACAATTCATTGGTTCCCAAAGATCACGTAATCAAAAAGTTACTTCAATTAATTCAAGTTAAAAATTTTGTTGGTAAGTGTAAAAATTTGAGAGGTTCAGTGTTTAAAGAAGCAATAATTTAAAGCAATTAATATTCATTGTGTGGCTAAACTAGCATTTAATTCACTGACTTGGCCTTGTTCCATCTGATACTTTGTATATAGAAGGCTCTTCAATGAATAAAATGTTATAGTTTTTTATTTTTAAAAACTCCCACATATTTTTCAGGTGTTTTACTTTTTTCTAGAAACAACCCTTAGTAACTAGCCATGCTGGTTAGTATGTCAAGAAAAAGAAAAGCTTTGCTGTGAAGATACTAATAATTACCATCACATTTAGAAAGAAGAGGAAATATGCACATCAAAACACTAAAAACATTCACATCTACTATTACAACACCAACAGTAATTCAGACTAAAGGATGATTAATTTGACAAGACATAATAATATCTTTAAAATTTGAAGCTAAACTTACTTTACAATATCCAAAAGATAGACATTCAGTAATAAAAATGTCTTGTCTGCAAATAACCCACCCAAGTACTGTTAAATAAAACTACACAAATGTGTATTATGTGAAGTCACCAAAAACTCTATTTGCAGAGTAAATTTAAATGTCCAACTGAGGAAAAGAAAAAAAATAAACATAAAGATAGGATCTAAAAGTGCAGTGTAAAATGAAAGAAGTTTATAAAACTAGTGAGGTTAATAATCAGATAACATGTGGAATATTCAGACGCTAGGTACCTTTCACTACCAAAGGAGACCAGGGAAACTATAAGGTAAAATTCTAACTGATAAAGTTTTTTAGCGTTTAGATGAAAATGTTAGTCTAGGAAAAAAAACCATAAATTTTAGGATTACCTATGAATTCTGACATTTTTGCTAAAGTGGTTTTCAATTCATATGAGATTTTGTTTTGCTATAATACAATTAATCTTTAACTCTAAAAATTAAACAAACAAACAAAAACCCCAATAATGTAACTTTCCCCAGCTCTGCTTTAAAATACATGTTCAGGCCCTAGCTGGTTTGGCTCCATGGATAGAGTGTTGCCTGTGGACTGAAGGGTCCCGGGTTTGATTCCGGTCAAGGGCACATGCCTGGGTTGCAGGCTCAATCCCCATTACGGGGTGTGCAGGATGCAGCTGATCAATGATTCTCTCTCATTATTGAGGTTTCTATCTCTCTTCCCCTCTCCTTCCTCTCTGAAATCAATAAAAAATATTTTTTAAAAAACATGTTCAGAACATGCACTATAAATAAAAAGAACTTAAACCAACTTCCTATGTTAACATGGAGTATTCGGTGTTTTTTAATTTTCTTTTAATACTTTTTTATTCTTATATTACAGTAGATATACAATATTAAATGAGTTTTAGGTTTACAACCACATTAGATATTTATATAACTTATGAAGTTATCACCCCAATAAATCTAGTACCCATCTAACACCATATATAGTTATTACAATATTATTGACTATATTCTCTATCTGCTTCACATCCCCCCATGACTATTCTGTAACTACCGATTTTACTCAGTGTTTTCCAAGTCAACAATAAAACATGCAGTTCTAGAAAGTAGTTACAAAAGCTTACAGGGAAAGTGTGTTTCAGTCTAGTCCCAGTGATCACCCTTCGAGCCAATAACAAATACTGGACAATAGGCTCATTTCAGATCTGTTTTTCCTTTTTGGATTAAGCATCTTGATATGGAAAGTGAAATTAAAAACCATCACAAGCAATTCAAACTTCCTGACATTATATGCCCAAACGGTTTTCTAATCTTATCAGCTTTTAAACATTGACTGCAGTTAGTGTTGAGATGTGCAATTCAAGGTGAAGAAGAAGAAACTTTTTAAAAATCCTCCCCACTGTTACCTTATTCAGAGACATAATAAGCAAACATCACTAACTTTTTTTAATGGTTTTGAATTCATTTCAGTATAGTTTAGGAAGCTTAAAAGTGATAGCCAGCAATTTTATGTTATTTTAAAGAAAAATATTCACAATGTTTTAAATTCTCTTGTTATTGAACAGCCTCAAATATGCCAATAAAAATAAATTCAATTTAATTAATTTCAGTTTTTCTTCTCTAGTTCTATTTATAGCAATAAAAATATCATTTTAAAGCATCAGTTAAATTTTAGTATAAAGTACAGTAAGCCTGAATTATTTGAGCGAAAGTGGTAAATTATTTTTTAAATAGTATGATTGAAGAAACAACTAAATAAATATAAAGTGGCATGGTTTCAATTGTTGTCTATCACTAGCAAAATAACAATTTCAAATAATTTCCCTCTAAAGGAGCTCAATGGTGCTGTACGCCTGCAAAGCACAAGCTTACTTGAATTCTGAGAATAAAGTGGACCTCCATTAACATGAGGCTGAGCAGAAAATTGAGCAGTCACAGAGGGAGTTCGTCTGTATCCACCAGAAGATGTCGAGGAAGTGGTAGAGTTGTGTCGAGAAATCTGCCTGGTCATTGTGCCATACTGGGAACCAGGAGCTGAGCCCGGGGCAGCTGAAAAGCATTAGTCAAAGGCAACCAACAAAGAATTTGAGCACTGCATATCACCTCCAATAGCAGAACAAAGAGAGGGAGACTCACAGTAAGAAGTATTTATTAGTTTTAAGGCCCACAGCAAAAATAAAGAGAAAAGTAAAGATAAAACACAAATAGCTCCATCTCTGAAGAAGGAAAAACAGATAGTGGGGAAGCTGCAAAAGTAAATAAAGTTACATTCTTAAGCCATTTAATTTAGCATAATCCCAAATATTTTGCTAATATTATTTATAAATTTTTACTGTATTATTTTAGAACACACAGATTTTATATGTAAATTGTGTCTCTCTAACAAAATAAGTACCAAAGGATAGTCTGAAGTGGAAAGCGTCAGCTTTTAAATGTGAATACATTAATATTTGATTTACAAACGTCTTCCTTTCCATTGCCAAATCTTAAAAAAAACTGTATAAGATTCTATCCAGCCAAATCCAGGTTTAATTATAAAATTTAAAGAGTTCAGCATATTTTCCACAGATTGTACTAAAATTTGAATGTTTATTGTATCAGCAGTTATCAATACATATTATAGTAAAATCATTTTTAAGAGAAATACAACTTCTGGTTTCAAAGCTCTTATAGAAATCCATTCTCTTTCTCCATACTTGGAGGTCTTTTTCTCCATACTATACTCAAATCAATCTTTTGTATAAAATTATCATGCATATCTAAACTTACTAAAGTATTAATAATGCTTAATATTTTATTCAGTCATCTTGACCAACATTTCAAAAGTTTAATACTTAAAAGGTTAATAAAGTTCAAAGCCTCTAAAGTTAACTATACTTTCCAAAGGTTACTTTGGGATTAACAGTATTATTTTTTTGCCTGACCTAAACATCTAACCATGACTATGTAAAAAAAAACAGCATCCTAGTTTATTTTCATTCAGTTGTCTAATTTAACCTCCCCTAGAGGTGATAAAATTAGATAAAACTGTTCAGCAGAGGTTGTTCATTAAAAGTGCTAATATTTAACATTTTGGAACTCCCAAGCCATAGGCAGTCACTAATTATTTGAATCATCCACATGGTCATTTTCAAAATAGAAACACATTTTTAAAATAATAGTCGATTTAAAAGCTTTTCATGAGTAACCCTGGACAGCTAGGTTTTCTAGAAAGCTAAGAAGTAAGCCTAAAGCTACTTTTAATACAATTCTCACTATAATGATTTTTATATTTCTCTACCTGTATAAAAATGTATGAAATCCAAGTTGTTTTTCTTGGTGATTTAAAACCCAAAACCAACTTATTCAACAGTTCCAAACTATGCCTATTTTAAAATCTATTTTAATATTTTATTATAAAATAAACCATAATACCAAAGTGTGTGTGTGTGTGTGTGTGT